CTCGAAATCTTCATGCACAGATTTATCCAATGTACCAAACCTTATATTTTGATTCAAGCATGACTTGTCAGTTTCAAAAAATATACAGACACACAACCAGTGAAGGAAAGCGACCAGTTACATTGAAACATGTTGGCATATGACTGTACTTAACATGATTTCATTCATAAAAGAATTATCATACCGTGCACAGGACATTATGAAATATAATATATGTTCATTTGGGGTTAGTATACAAGGTCATACGGTGACTGGCATTTTTTTTGAAAAACGCAATGAAATGTTTACAAAGTATCAAGGTAATCCCTTTTCCATAAAGAAAATACGACGGAATAAATTACTGATGAACTTCAGAAAGACATTTTTTATTTATCATTCAAAGTAATCTTGTTCCCTGTAAGCCTGGCGTGGGAGACGGATGTATTTCTTAGGAACTGTCTCCTAGGGCAAGTTATAAAGTAGCTTTGAATGGGAGAGTAGGGTGTTTCTAGGCAGAAGTCCCTCAGGGTAATCAGATTGGTCAGTTAAGGTTTTTAAATCTTTGAAACAGCAAAGCTCATATAAGGAAAAAGTTCTACTGTAACTTGAAAAGAAAGAACAGGGTATTTCTTGGTAGGTCCATAAAGTCAGATTTGATAATAGCTTTATCCGTGTACATAATGAAAACAGAATATCTGACTATGAAAAAAATTTCAGTGAAAATACTTTACTTTGGATTCTCCGAGTGCCCTGGTTTGCTTGCCTGGTTTTATCGTTTTTTTCTAAACAAAGATTATTACCCAATGAGGTCCATAACAAAGTGTATTAACCTTCAGGACAAGGTACTTACGGAGGGTCTCAAGTCTCATCTGGTAGATCTGACAGGCGCTATAGTAAATACTGTGGTGCTCAAGCTTCTCCAGACTCTTAACTGACATTTTGATTGGAAATTCGAATTCCAGTCCAACAGTAAAGATTCTTGACTTAAATCCAGGACGAAGTTTCCAAACACAATGTGGAGTTCTCCGTCACTTTACCAAAGAAACATTTTTTTTTGTTGCAAACTCATTTAAATCATCTCCATATGAAGCTGTTATCACACATTTTATAAATATGATGCTGGTAATTCGAAATATTTTGAGATCAGCATCCTCCCACAGTGTTCTACTCCTACTCAGACAAACTTGTCTGTAACAGTGACCAGTGGGTCCCAAGGGCAGTCCTCCCCTGTCAAGGTGACCTTGCTGTGGGTAAGACTGCCCGAACCCTACACCTCCTTAGATAGGTATCCACACACGGCCAAGGTGACAATGGGCTACGTGTGGTTAGTGTGAAAACAGCCCGGATTACAATCAGCAGACGAGCTGGGACTACCTAATGTTTTAATGATTCAAATTCCTATTAATATCTTCCTTGTCAGTGAGTATCGAGCATATATGTTCTTGCAGTATCAATAGCGTTCTTACCCGTATAGAAAAATCTAACCATTGCACACAAGAAACTCATGAGTATCTATCTCATGAGCAGCACACGAGAAATGAGTTAGAAATGCATGCAAATTAAGTTTTGCACATGAGTTTCAAGTTGGTTAGACAATGCTCACCTCCAATGCACAAGTGAAATGATTTCCTCATGTGAGAAGAATTATTCTAACACAAGCTCATGTCAGGAAATCTGCTCGTGTGTGCGACCTACACTTTTTAAAACTTCTCTGCTTCTCATAAACAAAATGTTAGTGCTGTGTTTTACATGGAAATGCTAGATATCTCTATATAAAACCTTGTACATGAAGAATAACGTGACCAGAATACCTGGTCCAATGGTGACCATTATGGAAGTCAACAGTACAGTGTGATACCAACCTGTCAGTGTAGGAAAGTCTGATATCATGTTTAACATCAAATCATTTCCAAACAATTTTCCTTGCCATCTCATCCAAAAAGATTTTTTTCATCAGCACACAGATTTAAAACAAATTTGTTTCATTCAATATTTTGACATTATTCATTATTCTTCCTGTTTTTTAACCCTAATTGTTTATAAATTTATCAGGACAATCTAAATTTTTATGAGTTATACAGTAATGTGTCCCCTTGTGAGAGCCCCATTTTTTTTATGATTCATGCCGTTATTGATTCAACATGTGCATGAGTGTGCATTACATTACAGTAGATATGTCCATCTTGGCTGAATGGCCACTTAACCACAACCACATAGGGCCAAGGTAACAACCATGTAACATCCATGTATCATCCGACAATTTGTTTCCCTTGATACATTTTTTATTTTTCATTTTTGTAGGAAAATGAATGTGAATGGCTCGTGTAGATGACGACACTAATAACCACTTGCTTGCATGCCTTTAAAAGGGCTGTCTGGGCCAGTACTGAGTCACAGACATCACAGCAGACGGTAGACTTGTACAAGTTCTTAATAGATGTTTTAACAAATTGAAAACATGTCTGTGGAGTGTGTTTATGTTTATCTCTTAACCTTTCCAAAAGAGACTTTTAACTCATTCACCCCTGAAATTTCCTAATGAACTATTCCAACCATTGAATTGGAAGAGTTCAAATGTGTCTTCAGGGGTCGATGAGTTAAAGACACCTGTAAATAAAGGACAAATGGATCTCTTCTCAACAACTATTGACCACTAGAAGGTTCTTACAATGAATCAAAGTCCAACACCTCCCTTTTCCTAAACCAATCAAACTGCCCCAGTGTCTGATAACTGCCCCCCCCCCNCCCCCCCCCCCCGAACTCTATGGGTGTTTAACTTTTCTGCACCAATCCAATGGATTAACTGCCCAACCCGATCTTACAAATACGAATTCATAGACATACCGCATAGTTGGACTGCATTTTTCTGATGACTACCCGACAAAGATATATCTATGGTGTATCTAATTCTACTACAACCCAAACACTTATCACCCTGGAATTTGACAACCGGTATATTTTTGTCTGGAGCGCATCCAGAAAATCAATAGCGGCTGGTTTGTAAATAAACTCTTCATTGACTCTCAAGATTCAGCATTAATAGCGGTACCCAGAAATCAATAGAGCACTGCAGCATCCCTGCACGTCGCCACATACGTTCCAAGACTGCAGCATCAGTACCGGCCTTAACATGCGTTACATCAACAGCTATCTTACAAAATCTGCTTCCATACATTTCATTACCCATTCAATTATCTATTATCACACTTTCAAGGACAGTTTTCCACAACTACAGTCAAGACTTAAGAATAAGATTCCGTGTATTTCAATTCCTGTTTGTGTTCAAAACAAACTTAGCCTTTATTACAGTCAAGACTTGGTAATCCATGCACCCACCGCTGTCACCAATCTTAATCCTGCAATTCCACTATCCAGTCACCAAAAATCCAGCTGTTCCACTATCATTACCCTAAACATAATTAGGCTATCCCATTATGTAGCCACCATTTATCCTAATATGGCTGTCCCACTATTAAGCCACCAATAATCCTTAAATGGCTGCCCCAATATCCAGCTACCAATAATCCTAATATGGCTGCCCAACTATCCTGCCACCAATAATCCTTCGGCCAAAAATATAAACATTGATGTGTTTCAGGTACTCTGCAACCTTTGTTTTTACCTCCGATCCTAACAATTTTATCTCGCTCGAACGCACTCCATCCAGTGTTGGGATAACTTGTCCACTGGATGCAAATCAAATTGATGGACAAACAAACAAGGCAACTATATATATACATATCTTCTCTACTTTATGGGCAGATATAAAAACCAAATTTGATCCGATATTATTATTTAAAAGACCTAAAATTATGTTTGGTGTTTTTTCTGAAATAAGCCCCCACCCATCAAAAAAAACAAAAGCCGACTGACCTTTCCTATTTTTTTCAGTAATGTTACCAGAAACATAACAATTTTAGTTGATTTTTATGTTGACTCTGAAGCAATAATTTGAGCACAGCTCTGAAGTCTAAAATTCAAATCAAATGTATCAATACTCCGATGCATAGATAAGCTGTATATAGGATACACCGAGATGGTCAAATAAGTCACTATAAAGAGATAAGACTTTCGGCTAAATAACAAGAAATGAATTTGTGGTGTTTTAGCTGTCCCTAATAACATACAAATTCTGGGTTGTATATATTAGTCCTATCCCGTTGACAGATTTCAAATATTCTACCAGCCCAATCTATATTTTCATACGTAGAGTGGGAGACCCAACGTCCATGCGAAGAGTTTAGCAAAGTTCTGCGTTACCCAACAGACGGGTTTCACAAGGAATACACGAGTCTATATATATAGAAGAGCAATCAAACAGAAAAGATGACCATGACAACGTAGTGCTGGGTATAACGGCTTTAATCCAAGTTTACATTGACTAGTTTCGACACATGAGGCGTGTCGTCATTAGAATTTTTTATAATAAATATTTAAAATTTTCACAACCCCAGACATACAAGCTACCAGCCCTGGGCATCAAGCTAGTGAAACTGTACACTCTTAATACCAAATTCCTTAGGATAAATACAATACAGACAAACATTCCATAGATCTGTGTGGACATTTTCTGACTTACCACAACAGCCTGCATTTTGATTTACCAGGCTTATTAATGGTATGTTACAGTCAAAACTATTGATCAGGAAACTCTTGGGAACCTCTGAAATACATTTGCTAAAAGAACAGTTCTTTGCTGAGTTTGACTTTCAAAAGACAAGTCTTTGTCAAGGACAAAAAAAAAAAAAAAAAATTGCATTCAATGTACTAAGATTTTTAAAGAAATGAGTTTGTTGAAAGTACAGCTCTTTAGAGAGTTGGACTTTCAAAAGACAAGTCTTGGTCAAGGACACAACTAAGCTTGTTCCTAGGGAAAACACTTCACTGAAGCTGTGGTGTTCAGAAAGTTCTTACACCACAGCATCCGAAATTCCAAAGTTCAGACGGGATCAACAAGACTCCATTATTTATCTACTTGAGATAATAATATGGTAAGTGTTTAGAAAAGAAAATGTTATTACCTTGCCCATCTAAGGACGGTGTTCTCCGTCCGTCTGAGTGGTAGTCGTCGGGAGGTGGGGCGTTCAGGTTCAGGGCTGACGATCGCTGCATATCATCCGGGAAGTAAGGTTGCTGACGCCCATCATGTTCGTCAGAATACGGGGGTCCGTCTCGACTATCATTGTGATCATCTTGGTACTGTGGTGGTTGTTCATTATATTGACCTGTTGAGAAAGTCCAAGTTAAATATATATTTTGTCAAAGGTTATTTTAAGACAACAATTGCAAGTACAGGCAGAATATACTTGCAGGGCTAGAAATTTATTTTCAATACCACTACTCGATTGGGGTAGTACTTCCCAATTTTTACTAGTTCATGAGCAAATTCCACTAACCCAGTATTATTCATTAGATTAGCAATATCAAATTTGAAATAGTCAATCAGGCTATTGGTTTTCAGAACTAGTACTAGTCCAGCTGGTGATTTCACTAGTCTCAGACTATCGGGCTACCCTGATTGTCTAGCCATGCACTAGTCCAGCTGGAGATTTCATTAGTCTCTGACTATGTGGTTACCCTTATTGTCTAGCCCTGCACTAGCCCAGCTGGAGATTTCACTAGTCTCTGACTATCAGGCCACCATTATTGTCTAGCACTGCACTAGTCCAGCTGGAGATTTCACTAGTCTCAGACTATCGGGCTACCCTTATTGTCTAGCCCTGCACTAGTCCAGCTGGAGATTTCACTAGTCTCAGACTATCAGGCTACCCTTATTGTCTAGCCCTGCACTAGTCCAGCTGGAGATTTCACTAGTCTCAGACTATCAGGCTACCCTTATTGTCTAGCCCTGCACTAGTCCAGCTGGAGATTTCACTAGTCTCAGACTATCAGGCTACCCTTATTGTCTAGCCCTGCACTAGTCCAGCTGGAGATTTCACTAGTCTCAGACTATCAGGCTACCCTTATTGTCTAGCCCTGCACTAGTCCAGCTGGAGATTTCACTAGTCTCAGACTATCAGGCTACCCTTATTGTCTAGCCCTGCACTAGTCCAGCTGGAGATTTCACTAGTCTCAGACTATCAGGCTACCCTTATTGTCTAGCCCTGCACTAGTCCAGCTGGAGATTTCACTAGTCTCAGACTATCAGGCTACCCTTATTGTCTAGCCCTGCACTAGTCCAGCTGGAGATTTCACTAGTCTCAGACTATCAGGCTACCCTTATTGTCTAGCCCTGCACTAGTCCAGCTGGAGATTTCACTAGTCTCAGACTATCGGGCTACCCTTATTGTCTAGCCCTGCACTAGTCCAGCTGGAGATTTCACTAGTCTCAGACTATCAGGCTACCCTTATTGTCTAGCCCTGCACTAGTCCAGCTGGAGATTTCACTAGTCTCAGACTATCGGGCTACCCTTATTGTCTAGCCCTGCACTAGTCCAGCTGGAGATTTCATTAGTCTCACACTATGTGGCTACCCTTATTGTATAGCCCTGCACTAGCCCAGCTGGAGATTTGACTAGTCTCAGACTATCGGGCTACCCTTATTGTCTATCCCTGCACTAGTCCATCTGGAGATTTCATTAGTCTCACACTATGTGGCTACCCTTATTGTCAGGCTACCCTTATTGTCTAGCCCTGCACTAGTCCAGCTGGAGATTTCACTAGTCTCAGACTATCAGGCCACCCTTATTGTCTAGCCCTGCACTAGTCTAGCTGGTGATTTCACTAGTCTGAGACTATCGGGCTACCCTTATTGTCTAGCCCTGCACTAGCCCAGCTAGTGATTTCACTAGTCTCAGACTATCAGGCCTCCCTTATTGTCTAGCCCTGCACTAGTCCAGTTGGAGATTTCACTAGTCTCAGACTATCAGGCTACCCTTATTGTCTAGCTCTGCAGTCCAGCTGTAGATTTCACTAGTCACAGACTATCAGGCTGCCCTTATTGTCTAGCCCTGCACTAGTCCAGTTGGATATTTCACTAGTCTCAGACTATCAGGCTACCCCTATTGTCTAGCCCTGCAGTAGTCCAGCTGGAGATTCCACTAGTCTCAGACTATCAGGCAACCCTTATTGTCTAGCCCTGCACTAGTCCAGTTGGAGATTTCACTAGTCTCAGACTATCGGGCTACCATTATTGTCTAGCCCTGCACTAGTCCAGCTGGAGATTTCTCTAGTCTCAGACTATCGGGCTACCCTTATTGTCTAGCCCTACACTAGTCCAGCTGGAGATTTCACTAGTCACAGACTATCAGGCTACCCTTATTGTATAGCCCTGCACTAGCCCAGCTGGAGATTTCTCTAGTCTCAGACTATCGGGCTACCCTTATTGTCTAGCACTGCACTAGTCTAGCTGGTGATTTCACTAGTCTGATCACTAGTCTCTAACTATCGGGCTACCCTTATTGTCTAGCACTGCACTAGTCTAGCTGGTGATTTCACTAGTCTGATCACTAGTCTCTAACTATCGGGCTACCCTTATTGTCTAGCACTGCACTAGTCTAGCTGGTGATTTCACTAGTCTGATCACTAGTCTCTAACTATCGGGCTACCCTTATTGTCTAGCCCTCCACTAGCCCAGCTGGTGATTTCACTAGTCTCAGACTATCAGGCCACCCTTATTGTCTAGACCTGCAGTAGTCCAGCTGTAGATTTCACTAGTCACAGACTATCAGGCTACCCTTATTGTCTAGCCCTGCAGTCCAGCTGGAGATTTCACTAGTCTCAGACTATCGGGCTACCCTTATTGTCTAGCCCTACACTAGTCCAGCTGGAGATTTCACTAGTCTCAGACTATCGGGCTACCCTTATTGTCTAGCCCTGAACTTATATGAACTGATTTCCCCTATGGTACATAACATCATGTCAGTTACAAAGCAAGTGAAAAAAGTCCAATAATATCTTGATTTTCTGGCAAATAGTACAGTTCAAATGTAAAACTTTCGCCTTTTTGACATAAATGTTTTACAATATGTTGGGAGACATAAGATTTCTTTTAAGAAATTCTGCAACATTTTGACAGATTGAACCTTGACGTAACATAAAGCTACTTTGTATACATGACTTAGAGCTTACAAATGATCAATAGAACCCTAACCATACATAAGTAAAAACTATACAAAAAGCATCAAACCAGACAGAGTTATCTCCCCTTATACTACAAGATCAGATGGTCAGATTCTGGTTAAAATTTCTTTTTAATTAGGAGTTCTGTTAAAACATCAGGAAAATAGAGATGGTTGCAAAGGAAACGGATCACTTGAGTTTGAATCATCAGAAAGTTAAGAAAAAATTTAGTATCCAGATTAATTTCAAGTTTTCATTTGATGTTCACCTAGTGTAGAAGGAGAGAATGTGATTTTTTTCATGGAATGCAGCCAGTGCCAGCCCTGTTTATATTTAAGAACTAGCTTTTCTTGCACCGCAGCAAGTGATTTCCATATGCAGAATTTTTCTATCTAGTTTTGCTCTGTCAGGTACCTTTTAGTAACTAACATTTGATGCAAAATGCAGGGAAAGATTAGTCTAAATGATGTCTTTTAGCTACAACTTGTATTCTCGTTCTTGCAAGCTTACCATAGGGGTCTCCGGGATTACGGTACGAATCACTCCGACTTGGAGGATCAATCATGGGACCTCCCCGGGACATGTCCGGTCTGTCCCCTACTGGTGATGGGGTTCGCCTACTATAGGGATCCTCATCACGATACCGAAGATCGGCCTGAGAGGCACGGTAACGCTCCTCTGCTGCCGCCATTGCAGCCTTCTGTTGGAATGGATCATCGGCAAAAGGGTCCTGTGGAACATCAGGAAGGCCGTCATGTTTGTTTGGGCTGTAGGGGTAATCATCATAATTACCAAATGTGGGCTCCCCCTCAAACCGGTCACCAGGAGGTAGATCCCTGTACCTGTCCTCCATAGGGGGTGGGGCCCCGTGGGGGTCATCTAGTGACATGTCTCTGAATCTATCATCTGGAGGTAAGTACTGATTGCCAGGGACAGGGGATTCCCTGTAACCACTCTCCGGCATATAATTATCACCTGGCGGACCTCTGTACCGGTCGTCCTCAAACGAGTTTTCCTTGTACCGGTCATCCATCTGTGGTGGAGCCCCGGTATAAGCACCTGTCTCGTACAGCGGGGGTTGATCCCCATAGGGGTCTATGGGGTTACGGTACGAGTCACTGCGACTTGGAGGATCAATCATGGGTCCACCCCGGGGCATATCCGGTCTGTCCCCTACTGGCGAGTCTCTGTAGAAAGAGTCGCCCCCACGGGTGTCTTCATAGTTTGGCTGGTCCCCATAAGGGTCCCTGCTAATAGGGTGGTGGTTATAGGGGCTGATGTCTTCAGGTGGGGGCTGATTGTAGCTCCCCCTACCTCCTGGAGGTCCCATGTCCCTACTGAACAGAACAAAACTTATTAAATTCGATATAAAAAAGCAGATGACAGATTCGACTTTTTACCTCAACTTTTATTGTTTAAAAAATATAAAAACATTTATTATGCTAACACATTAGAATCAAAAGAATTGAATGCCCAATATTTTTTTTAAGAAACATAAAAAGTTACCAAAATAGTAATAAAATGTCTGGATTGCAATCAAAATTTTGTGCTTATAGTGTAATTTTCTTTAAAATTGGTAAAATCATGAATAGAAATTAGATGCAAAAAAAAAAAAAAAGGAAAGAATATTATTGCATACAATAATTTAATAGAAAATAATAAAATACCTGTTACAAAATATTTTATATCATGTACTTATTCCATATACCGGTATACATTGCCCACTATAACTAAAACACACATGCTATGATTCCCATGTCTAGTTTTATGGTTCAAAAAGCCTTGCTCTCACTACCATGTAAAACTCCCAAGTTCAATGTCTAAATATGGTTCAAAATCCTAGCTCCAATTCCAGTGTCTAACCCTGACCCAAGCCTGGCTATATGGTTTCAATGTCTAGCTCTGATTCCAATGTTTCTAACCATGATCCAAACCTAACTATGTTATTTCAATATCAAACTCTGATTCCCATGTGTAGCTTTCTTGTGTTAGCTAGGATTCACATGTCAGCTAGGATTCCCATGCCAGCTAGGATTCCCATGTCAAACTTCTATTTCCAAAGCTCTGATTGCAATGTTTAGCTGTAAACATTATTATTAGCTGAATTTGTATGTCTAGCTCTACAATTCCCATATCTAGCTACAAAAAGCCTAGTATTATTCTATGCCCTGCAATGATTCTTATAATAACTATCATTCTATAGTCTTAAAGCTATTGATCTCAATCCACAATCTAGCTATGGGATTCTAGAGTCTGTGATTCCCATGCTTTCATGCAAATCTGAAAACATATCTCACTCCATATTTCTAGGTAATCTCTCATTAACTTAAAAACAGGCCGACAAGTAAAAAACAGAAGGTGACCCAAACAATGCCATGCACACTGGGCCATCTGAAACACATATGTATACTATATTTTTGTAAGTTAAATTGGTTCAAACTATAAGTAAAACTTGTTAGTCTGGAAAATTTGTTTTACAATAAAATGGTGGGGAAAAAAGCAGAATAAAATAAATAAATAAGTATCACAAAATAAATGTACAATAAGATAAAAGTGTTATTTCAGGTAAAAATACTTTTCAGCGATGAGTGTGACGATGATGTAAACTCAAAGAACATACATACATACAATGTACAGTGATGGGCCAAGGGGAGACTACTCCTCACAACATTAATGTTATTTCTATAAAAAAAAGCCTGTGGGGGCTCAAGTCCTCAGAAAGTCATTACCTCAGAATTGTTCTAAATCCTGGAATAAGCCTGAATAAAATAAGCTAGCGTGCTGGTCTGGTATCTGTGCTCTTACCCCCGTGGTGTATGTAAAGCAATGTCAAATTATAGATTTAATGCTATAGTGGCGCCATGATATCATTCTGAAATATTCGATAAGTTGGTGGTGGTATTCAACACATCAATGATTAAACGATCTTAGAGAGGAGGTAATGGAGAGGGGGGATGACTTGTCTACCTCAACATGCCTGGGGCTCAAGTTACACACTTACATACACCATGCACACATGCAACTCTGCCATGATCCTTTTTATTGTCTTGAAATGTTTTTTTCCATAATCTATTCTATCAAAACTCTACAAAAATCCATGAAACTTTTGGCTATATATTCAAACCAGTGACTTTTAAACTCTTTCAAAAATGAATCAAAACTAACTATTTCAAAAGAATACAAACACCCAAAGTGAATGATCATCGAAAGCTCTAGCGACAAAACTTCTTCATTTGATATTGCAGCCTGAATTTTTTAATGGCAGCAAAATAAAAAGGAAAATGGCAGAGTTTAGGTGGCTATTATTATTCCATCGTCATGGGTACCAGACCTGTCTGCTCGCTTGGCTGAGCAATAGTTCTGTCTATCCCACAATGCACTTGATATTTTTTCTTTCCTTCTTCCTACTAAAACTCATTTTATAAATTTCAAGTTGCAAAAATTGAACAGAAATTGAAAAACACAATGTTATTAAAAAATCTTTTTTTTAAATCTGCATTACCTTTAAATTCAGGCACGCTTTTAGTTCTCTACTCTATCCGACTCAGATGCAAATATTCATGCAAGTATTTAGAGTGTTTTCTGGGACACTTAAAACAAGAAATTACACAATTCAAACACAAACCATAAACTTGACAATACTACACAGTCTGTTTGCTTTTGAAATGTAATAATCTGCAATTCAGTTTGAAAAATTAAATACACAGAACTCTATAATGTTTCAAAATTTGATTATTTTAAGCTCATTACGGTAACAAGGCTATCGATTATTGTCGTAGGGCTGGCTTTGTGGGATAAGATGTACCTATGATCATGGTGACTATAGGGGTCGTACTGTGGCCTCTGTAAGCTGTCATTAGATGCAAGACTGTAGCGGGGCGATTGGTCGGGGTACTGATCAGCGTACTGATCAGGATCGCCACCATAGTTGTTGAACCTTGAGGGGCTGGGCGGGCCCTGTGCTGGGGACATTGCCGAGTAGGACATGTAGTTGTCGTTAGGCTGTTCTCGCGGTAGAGAGGACACGGAGCCCTGCATTCCTGGTCCCTTCATCGCCTGCAACAAACACACATGTCGTCTCATAGCAAATCTTTGGTCAACAACATTACAGAAACAACATAAATTGATCAAAATCCAATAAGCGTTTGCATACATGATTTTGGCTTCAACAAAATTTACGGTATAGATTCAGGTCAGGTATCGAGAAAAATATGATAGCCTTAATAAGCAATATGAGCAGTCAGAATTGTGCTTCAGGAATGTCAGGGCTATCAATCACTGTTGTACATCAACGTTATCTTCTTCTACTTGTTGTGCCATTACTGTGACTTCTTGACCTCTGACCCTGACCTCATTAGGCCTAAATAAAACATATGTGTGTTTCAGGGTACATCACTCCAAAACTTGGGCAAGAACGGTAGGTATGGGTTTTTTTAACATTTACTACCAACCTCTCGGAGAAAATTTCAGAAACTGCTACCAAATGTCACAAACACTCAACTTAATGTTGTTTCATTTTTGATATGAGATTTTGAGCATTGAAATATATATTGCTTAAAAGCTTTTGAGCCAGCAAGAAATAGCAGGGTCTGTCGGGAGACCTAAAAACACATTGTTTTCAGTCTTAAACTCCCTTTAGGTTGAAATTCTAACAATGTTAGATACTAGCCACTTTAAGGCCAGAATTATCAACAACAGAATTACATTTTCACATTTTTTAACGTAATTTTTTATAGATGCTACACAGACATAAAAGCAATCAATATGTAGTTGAATTGTAGTTGATGATTTGGATTTTTTACATCGGGACATAAAATAGTGGCGAAAGTGACATTGCAGGAAGGGGTCAAGGGATTGGAAGCTTTTGGATATTAGATGGAGGTAAAGTTAGAGCATTACTGAGGTCAGTAGTGATATAGATGGGGACAGAACGGGAAATAGAGGTAAACAGAAGGTACTCACTGTTAAGCTCTGCAGCAAAGGGGTACAGTACATAGGGTTGGAAATGATGGAGGGGATGGAGAATATTCACAGTTCTAAGATGCCAGCTGCAGTTAAGACCGGGTTAGGGGTGTGACAAAACAGGTGAAGACAGGGGTACTCACAGTTCTAGGGTGACGGTTGCTGCCCGTACTTTGTAGGGACAGGTGTGAAGAGTGGGGTGACCTGTCAGCCAGGTACTGGGGGTTGCCTCCGTTTAGGGCGCCGGGGGAGTAACTCTGGTTGTAAGGGTCGCTGTTGTTGTAAGGGATACGTCCGTGGGTACTGTAGGGGTCATCTTGTAGGTAATCCATGTTGTCTTCACTGTAAGCAAAGACCAGACACAAATTAACATCGCTAACATAAAATATTCATAAATTGTCTTCAATATACAACACTCGACACTGTAAGGAGGGACACCAGTATTTTGAAAGGGAAATGTTAATTGGATTTTAGCCATTAGCATATAGAAGACCGCTCTTCAAAATTTCACTATACAGATTAACTGACATTTACTGTAGTATTAGCTCTAAGGCAATGTATTCAGCCTTGTCGTCATAGTTGTACTTTGTAATAATAACCCTATACAGGTTCATTCTGCACATTTTGATAATACCCCCCCCCCCCTTCATTTTTCTGAAGATTGTCTAGTATAAAGCATTAAAACATGTGTGTATATGGGGGGGACAGGGGGGGGGGGGATTTTTTTTTGTTTTTTTGGGGGTTTTTTTCATGAATAGGGAAGAAAATATCTAAAGTGAATGACTTTTACACCCAAATATATAGACTGAAAAACCCTTATGTAATAATAGATACAAAACACGTTGTACAACAACCCACAACACATCACCAGTAACACAACCTATAGGTACTGTATTATCACATGCAATACCCTATCATCAGCTACTGAACACCATCATACACCGACTTCGTCCAAAGACAATACCAACATGCATGGTATACAACAGGGTTCTCCCCAGGCCATTTAGCTGATACGGCTCCGTATCAGCTTCAGTTTGAAATCCTCCCTGCCGTATCAGCTTAATTGACCCGTATCACCTTAAACTGTGAACCGTATCACCTTGTTATTTGTACTGAACAGAAGGTGGTCTTTTTACACAAGAAATTGACACTGATTAAATCACACGGCTGACCGAAGTCCATCAATGACCCCACTGGTCAGTTGCACGATAAGCGTATTGCCACAGGGGGCCTGTAATTAGTGGGGAGGGGGACCGGACGACAAGCCCACAGGGCACAGGTGTCCGGCAAGCGTGCTCACTGGAGCCTAAAGCAATTACCACCGGATCCTTTTAGCATGGTCAATAGGTGATTAATTGAGGTACCTACTGTTGGATTAACAAAACAAACACTTATTACATCTATTATAAATTAATTTACTCACATATGATTGCATTTGACAACGCTGAAATAGCGTGTGTATTCAGTTAGTGATGGTCGCCATCTTGGATTGTGTAAAGTACAAACCGGAAAGGGGAATGAAATTCCGGATTTGTCGTTTTTAATGAAGAAGAGCTCAAATAAAAATGCTGTTTTAATCTTTGATCACATTTACTGACAGCAGTATTTAATATAGTTTTAGAGGAAATAAAAACACTGTACATTTTATTAAAACATTTTCTCTTACAACAATAAGAACTTTGATATAAACTTGTTCATGTAAGTGTTTCCCCCTATAGCTTTTAAATATTTCTTCTTTAAATTATTTTTAATGGGGAGTAAGTAAGGGATACAAATGTAAAGATAAGAGACAAATGTCACAAATGTCATATCTATTACTCAATGTACAAAACTCATCCACCTTTCTATAAATTGTATTTTTTTTCAGAATATATTGCTGAAAATTCAGAATAAGAAACACTTATTTATTTCCTTGGTTTTAATGTTCACCAAAAGAAGTTTGGTAAATAAAAGTAACTTTTTAAACATTATATTACACCCCCCACCCCCCTTAGGTTTGATAAGGTATTATAAGGTATTATATTAGCGTGTCCGTCTTGAATGTTCGTTACAAATGAAACATATCGGCTTAAAAAAAATCTGGGGAGAACCCTGTACAAACAAGGTATACACAAAGGTACATATATATATATACACAGGAAGCAACTTATCAATCTTAATGAAGTATAGGTTCCCCCTGATTAAAATTCCTCGTTGCACAGTGCTGGATGTCATCACACAAAGCATTAGCTGCTTTAAATGAGGTAAGGTTTGGAATTTTTTTTAGTTAATCATTTCATTAAGTGTCGCTGTGATATATTTGACAGTTACTACAGAGTGTACACAGTATACTAGAGTAATTATCTATAACTACGTATATACAGGGTAACAGCCAAGCCAGTCAACATTCCGCCAGCATCCACGGCATGCCAAGTGGGAGTAAACTGCCTTACCGTACGTACCCTATGTTCATAGCACCCCGATCCTCCAACTCACGCCTGTAACGAGAGAGAAAATCTCATAAAACACAAAATCGAAGCAAACAAATTACACCAAGTCTGTAAACTGAATTATTAACCAATGACACATGAGATCATCTACCGCAGTTACTTAGATCGCTGTCTATGTTATAGATTATGCGATGACACAATGACTCAATTATGCAATGTTTGATGTATATAACATTCCATATCTCACATGTTGTACTAACAAGGTGAGTGCATGGTACTACACCTGTGTTTTACCTGTGTAGATCGGCCAAAGGTAAGCTATGTAACACCTGTGTTTCACCTGTGTAAATCGGCCAAAGGTAAGCTATGTAACACCCGTGTTTTACCTGTGTAGATCGGCCAAAGGAAAGCTATGTATTACCTGTGTTTTACCTGTGTAGATAAGGAAAAGGTAATCTATGTAACACCTGTGTTTTACCTGTGCAGATAAGCGAAAGGTAAGCTGTGTAACTCCTGCATTCTTTTACCAATTAAAATCAACTATAACGGTACTCCTTTTTTTTACTGAAAAATCGACTTGTCTTCAGCTTCTTTCCTTACAACACTGTAGAAGTAGAAATTTTCGTAGTAAGCAAATGCTGATGTTTTTCATGTTGAGAAAATTGTAGCAAAAAAATATCATCCCTAATTGAATACTTATATAATTTTTAGATGTAATGCATTTCAGAACCATTGGCTAACATGAATATTTCCACAACGCAATCAGTTTAAAGATTCATAACGTGAACATTTCTACACGGGAAAATTTCCATTTATACAATAACTGTAAAACTCAGTAAGTGAAAAATCTCTGTTTTCAACAGTATGATACTTATATATATCAAATCTACACAAAGGAAGCCGGACAGTGAATAGTTCCATGCTGAAAGCTTAACACTAAAGGAAGGATGAAGCAAAAGCGTCATGTATCCAGAGGATGTGACATAAGGAGGGCATACCTGTGACAGGGTATCACCCCCATCCTGGGTACCTTACGACGTCCACGCCACGGGACCACGGGTGTAGGCTTCATAAGCACGTCCCCATTGGTAGCCGGTACATAGTGGCAGGGAACAGATGCATGTTTCGTTAGCATGTCCCCTTTGGTAGCAGGTATGTAATGGCAGGGGACAGATGCATGTTTCGTTAGCATGTCCCCTTTGGTAGCAGGTATGTAATGGCAGGGGACAGATGCATGTTTCGTTAGCATGTCCCCTTTGTTGGTAGCAGGTATGTAATGGCAGAAAGAGGACATGTGCCTTCAGCCTTGACTTCTGGTACTTGGAAAGCACTACTACACGCACACTAATCCCCGCCTGGCATCACCCTGACGACAAGTACTAACACTGAATGTCCCCAGTACATCGTTCAATCTGGCCAGTCATTAGATTGCTATCAAGAACAGACTCTCAAAAGCTTTCAAGCTGTAAAGAAAATCACTGGTCAATAGTCTGGAAGTCTGGTACGACTTTCTACATCCAGTGTTTCTGAAGCACATTGGTATTCACCAAGATATCAGACTACATTAGAATGGTGCAAAATGTTGACAAACGCTTATAATCCTTCCAATAATAAAGTCGAGGCCATCGATTCCATCACATAAAACAAAATCTATATCCCGAATATTGGAGTCAGGACACATTTAGACTCAAACTCAAACCTTTCAACACGGAGATAAGTTCCCAAGCGAATGTCGGCATCCACGATTTGTGATTGTATCGGGATTAACTATAGTGAAATCTGCCAGTAAATCCAGGTGAGAGTTTACACAAGGTACATCTACATGTACAGATAACTGCAGCTGCTGGAGGCTACAGAACCGACTCACATTCCTGGAACAATACTACCATGTCCAGGGCTAGATTCCATTAGGATCCCTGGCCACTGTCGTAAAGTAGCAGGAAAATCAGTAAGTGTGACCTGGGGAGTCTGTAGATGTTACACCGACCCTGTCCATATATCTGAGGTGTGTACCAGATCGGATGCTATCGCTATAGTTACTGCTCCGATCCCCAGGGACGCCACAGTAACAGCAATCCCACTCAAATCACTTATGCTTTTTTTCTCTCCCCTGTTGCTCCAGTAAAAAAAAATCCACAGCGTCCTCCCCTACATCACAGGACCATGTTTTTTACTCATCATCACTATTGGTCCTGTGACCTCAAAGGACCCAGTGCCTAATCTAACACAAACAAACCATCTATTCGCCCTTAATTCATCAGCTCTGCAATGACTTAATCACACACACATGACCGTAATTTGGGGCGTTTATTTCTTATTTATGTCAGTCCGTCTGGGTAACAGAGCCCCTGTACACTAGCCCATAATGACAACAATGCACATGTACCTCGTGTGGTGTGTAAGTATTGGTCATGTGACCGGTCTCTGCTATAATCTGTGTTCTGATGAGTCCTGATTACATAACAATAGGCTTAGTCCACCAAAATGAGGAATTATCTCATAAATCTGCATGGAAGTGTAGCGAACAGTGTAGCGAACAGTTTAGTGAAATCTATTTGTTGTGTATATATCTACAGTTTTTACATGTGCAAAACCACATGTGTGCCAAATGCTCCAAGAAAATTCTACTAAAACCGAGAAAATCCTAAGAGCTGAGATCGATGGGCCATTTTCATCAATTTTGGTCAAAATCAAAAGTTTGAAGGGCCATTATATATGAATAATTAAAGAAACTGGATATTGAGAGGGGCCAATTTCAGTTTTGAGGGGCCAAACCCCCCTACAGGATTATCCTTTTTTAAAACTGTTTTTTATTATCACACCTTAATAAACCCTTACACCCTATGTAACTTTAGTAGACTCTACCATGCATTGATATGGATGAGTCCATTATGGTCTGCGGTGGTGAAAGGGCTAAAGGAAATGTGTGTCCCAAGTCACCTTACACTTTATTTTTATTAAAAACTTTAACGACCATAGAAAAGTTGTTACTTTGAACACCCCTCTTTCTTTTCCCCATCATATATAACCTTACAAACGACCCGGACTCCAAATTAACTAAATGACATCCAAAAAACAGACTTGCCATGCTGTTTTAGGTCAGAAGTTTAAACATTCACTCTCCATTAGTGTCACCTTGGAAAACATCGGGGACATTTCAACAGCTACCATATCAATCATGGTGGCTAATTATAACTAGACTTTCTAATTATAATTCCTCACAAACTTGATTCAAACGAATAAGACAGACTCTCGTACATGTTGTAAACTGTGGGGTAAAAATAGCAACACAACGTAAACTTCCCGACCAATGATACAACTTTTATTTCAATTCTTTTTTTAATTTAAAAGAAAGAAAAACATTTCCTGCAGAAGTTTTTTTTTTAATTTAAAAGAAAGAAAAACATTTCCTGCAGAAGTTTTTTTTTTTTTTATATATAGAAACAGATATATAGCAGATTGCAATTTTTTCCTTTCCAAAGATTGCATCTTGCAACAAACCAACAAAAACCTGCATCATTTATTTATCCAAACACTGCAGGGTTTCCGTGTTGTAACTTTCAAGGGATGAATATTTCGAATCCTATCCAATGTCTCCCGGATGATCTTGATTTCCATTACAAGAAGAGATCAAAGACAATAATTTTACAATCCATTACTCCAGCTGATAAACAAGATATACAGGAGATAAATCTACAAGGCCTTCTGCAACCGTTCAAATAATTCACAGAGGGGTCCCCAAGCCGTTGTTAACACGACTTTAATCCTTCAAAGCCCTCGATTCTATAGACTATACCAGTTTTAATTATTTCGAAGGTACGACTGATCAACTTTGTACAATCGATCCACTTTTTGTGGTCATGTTATTTTCCTGGCCCCATGTTTCATTGCACACAGATAAAAGTGAAGGTCACAGTGTGTGACTCTGCCCTATACGAGGTGTAGTCAGCTGTCAAAATACCCACGGCTAGATCACACTCAACTCGATAAACTACTATTTACAACAACATTGAAGACCTTCTTGAAAATCTTTTTCAAATATTTAGTGCAATACAAATTGTTTTGCATCCAAAATATTACAAGTTTTTAATAAATGCTGGAAATACTTGGTTTATCAAAAACTATTTTACACTAATATGAAGTCAACACTACTGCAACAGCAATCTATGGAGTTTACAGTAATTCCTGGCATAGTTCTGAGAATGGGGGAGTGGTTTTTTTTGTAAAGGGAATCTCCTACGCTCGTCTTTCTAGCATTAACACTTTGGATATGTAAAGTGCTGGGAAAAGAGGGGCTGTGTGTTTGACTTATTTGATAATTTGCTTCCCTGACAGGGACATTGAGACCTAATCAGCCGTCAGACTGAAAACCAATTACAGCTCCACTAAATATTTCAGTCACCTCTTTTAGAAAGCGAAACCCTAAATAGCTGTTTCTACTTTAAAGGCAAACTTTAAATAGTTTAATTTTCTTTTTTTGTCAAACCCTAAATATTTCAGTTTTGGGTTTTTGGTGGCTATAATGATAAATTCCCTTTCCAGGTCAAAGTTGTTTCTGCTAAAGTACTGTCTCTGAGGTAGGCCTGACATTCGGGGTATGATTTAACACTCTTCAATGGCTCTCAAACTCAATGGTCCACATCACAGGTTCCAGGGCAGAGAATCTGTAGCCTTCACTTCAGATTGATGGCTGAGCACACATGAGATATATACACATACAACATTTTAACCGCAGGGGGCACTTTTGGTGTAAATGAAACCAGGCTTTCACCTGATGAAGAGAAACTCAACAGGAATCTATAGACAAGAATGCAACCAATCAATTTGATTTTTTAAATTTCTGGAAGCTAATGCATCTGACTGGACATATTATCCTCCTCAGTACCACTTCAGTTACTACCTATCTGAATCCAGTGTTGAGTTATGGAAGCAGAACAGACTTAATGCATGAAATTTCTATCTGATATAATCTTATTTATTGGAACTGGAAAGAAACTTTTTTTTTTCTGGGTTTCAAAGTGATCAACTTCAAATGTGCCAAATCTGGA